GTTCTATTCCGACTTTGGGGATGATGGGTCAGAGGCATCCTTGTGTTGAACGACAATTTGGAGAGCAAAATATCAAGCGATTATAAAACAAGCATCACCAGAGACTGACTTTGTGCAAGTAATTTTTGACTAATACAGATTATAATTCCTTGGACCTTAGAACAAGCCCACATAAAGCAACCTCTTGACTCTTTGTCCTCATACTTGATGATCACATCTTACACTGGGAAACTTTTTCACCTTGCACTGTGAGAAAACACTGAAACAGCCTAAAAAGTTCACTGCATAATTAGCTTAATCTGCTGGGTTTGTTTCTCAGAAAGGAGATCAAAGTCAGAAATGAGTATAACTGAATGTGAAGGAATAGGAGGGAAAGAAATATTACAGAAGTTTAGTATAAGGAATAATTCCTCTGCAATCCCATTTGGGGTAAAACAAATTGTCAGAAGTATTCTTGATTTATATAAAATACTTAATTTTGTTAAAATTTTAAAAAGTCTATAGGCACATCTAATCAATTAAATTTCTGTGTATTTCAGAAAATTATATTTTAAATACTGCTTTAATATTTTCACTTAGACATAAAGATAGAATACATTCATATGCTCAAATTTAAATACTTGCCGCTCATTAAACAGCATTCAATTTATCTTTTCCATACATAAATCTGAAGACAAAGACCTACACACTTAACATGCATCAGACTGAAATGTGCTATATCATTATTCTTGCCTTTTTCTGTATATTATCCCAGTACATGTTTAATGCTACCCATAGGAGCAGCACCCCTGAGCTTGAAAATCCAGCACCTGTACAGTCATGAATCAACACCAGTGTGACACAACTTAGTTATGTTAACGACAGTACCTTTAGAGCACACGAATAGGCCTTTTCTCCCACATTAATGGACTTTGGGTCATCATCGTCCAGGTTTTCCCAAATCCTAACATCTCCATCACTGCCACAAGTTACAATGCAGCTGCAGAAAGACACGGCACTTGTTAACATTCAGGAATGGAAAGGACAGCCACTGGGACTTTCAATCCCCAAATTAAAATGTTATTAAAGTGTTAGATTTTTTATTTTTTTTATAAATTGAAACCAATACATACTGTGCGATAAAGCAAATATCTACATTTATTATGTCTAAGTAACTTCACAGAATCACAGAATCGTAAGGGTTGGAAGGGACCTCAGGAGATCATCTAGTCCAACCCCCCTGCTAAAGCAGGCCCACCTAGAGCATGCTACACAGGACTTCATCCAGGCGGGCTTTGAATATCTCCAGAGAAGGAGACTCCACAACCTCCCTGGGCAGCCTGTTCCAGTGCTCTGCCACCCTCAGGGTGAAGAAGTTCTTCCTCATTTTCAACTGAAACCTCTTATGTTTAAACTTATTAAACATGAGGAAAAAAAGAGTCACATGTGGTAGCACAGCACAGTACCTTGGGTCTCTGATAACTACCTAGGCCTTGCGCTCATCTGAACTGACCCTTAGATATTATCGGTCAAACCATTTTTTCCACGACCTAAAGCAAATTTTTCAAAGGACTCAATTAGCACTGATTTCTCTAAGAACTGGGCGTTTAATTGCTTCTTAAGACTTTGAAAACTTACCTTACAGCTGATTACAAAGTTGAGGGCAAAACTAAGAATGTTAATCCGCACTTGACTGAAGTTTAACAAGCTTAACATGTTCCAGGCCTACAGACCCCTTAAAAAATAGTTAAATATGGAATTCAAGTTTTCTGGAGTTAACTTTCACAAATTTAATGCAGTAAACAATAAACCAAAGTCACAGAACAAATATGCAGAAGTTTGCACAGAATTTTTAATTGAAGACATCGTGAATCGATAATCGAGCCTTGCATTCTTTCTTTTCCTAAAGTTGTTTGCAGTCCCCCCAAAAAAAATCTTACTAAAGAGAAAAATGTTACAAAGCGAGTGGTGAGGCTGCGATGTCGCTCCTCTTAGTTCTGTAAGGTCTGTACTTTGACAGCAACACAGCACTGTGTTATGTTGAATATATTGATGCTGGGGAGTCCAGCAGTAGTGGTCCAGTGCTACCTGGCAGAGATGTCTGCATCCTTTTTTACACATTGGCATTATAATGGCAAACAAGGGGTTTTGTGGTTTCAGGGGACTGTTATTAGACCAACCCTTAAGAGTAGTCTTTGTACCAAGGCTAACAGACTACAGAAAGGAACAAGAGAATATGGACTTAAACCATACTCAGTATATAAGCCTTACCCCTTGAGTTCATTTTGAGAGGGCTTGCTTTCTGGTTTACCATTTATTTTTAATCAATAAAAAGGCAACGGCAACCATTTAGTTTACATTTACACATCCAAGAACTAGCGCAGGAATAACAAGGAAAGATAGGAAGGCTAATATTGGATTTCTTCAACTATATTTTTAATTTCTTAGTGCGTATGTGACCATCTTTACTCCCACACTACATTGATTTCCGCTAGATTCTATGAAGTCACTCTTATAAAAAGTGCATGTAGATTTTGTTATACATACATACTATATATATACACATGCTGTATATATGTGCGTGTGTGTGTGTGTGTGTGTACGCTTACATTTAGAGTAATAAATCAATCACTTCAAAACTCAGGGCATCAAAGAGTGTCATATAGCCAGTTCTCAAGACAGGCAAACCCCAAAGTATTCGCCAGACCAAGCCAGGCCATAAATCCATCCCCCTATCTCAGTGGCTGCTACAGAATCTCCTGAGGAAGCAAGAGAGGAACGAGATCGTCTCTCCCCCCCCCGGGCCTTCAGGAATTGGGCAGTTACCTCCCGGTGTCATCGAAGCAGACGTCCGTGTGGCCCTCGGTGTGGCCGTACCGCATCGGCTTTTGCGCGGAAGGCATCTTCGCTCTCACCTGTTTATTTACGGAGGACAAAAAGGGAGAGAAATAAAATAAATTTAGAAAGAAAAAGCTTCGGAAAGAGCCTCAAGAAAGCAGGGCAAGGGCAGAGGTACTGGGACACCCACCCACCCGCTCGGCCTCGGCGGGTCAGGGCCGGGCAGATGGACGCAGCGCCGGCCCCCCCCTCGGAAGGGC